AAAAAATGCCGCGTCCGATCCCGACCCGCCGCGGTTGACGTCACTTACAGCTGCATTCCAGCGCTTTACTGGTGTTCCTCAACTCTTCCTCCGCCGCGCAGGTAAAAACGGTGCCGGCGTCCCATTCGGCTTCGGTAACGCTCAACCGACTGTCGGTAATGAAGGATTCTCTGCTGTCGGTCTGCCAAGTTTCGGTGACGATGCCGTTTTGGTGAGGAATTCCGTTTTTCAACCACTGGACGGTGGTTGGCGATTGTTGGCTTCGGCGGATTTGGCAAAGGATGGTGGAGTTACGGTAAGGCCCGTCGAAATCTTCGCGGGACGGCGGGTGGATGGTGACGATGGGTGTTGTGGGAGTGGGTTTGTGACCTGGGGAGAAAGGAGGAGGAAAGGGGCGGGGTGAGCGGGCGGAGCTTCGTCCCCCTCCCCAAAAATTGTGCCGAGGTGGGGAGGGGAGGGGAGATGATCCGGGGAAGGATGCGGTAGCGCCGGGATGCGACAGCACTGGGATGCGAGGACGCCGGGAAGCAAGGAAAGGATGCTCGGGGAAGGATGTAGCAACACCGGGATGCAACACCGGGACGCAATAGGGAGGGATGGAAAAAACACCGGGATGGAAAAAACACCAGGATGCAACACCGGGATGCAAAAAACACCGGGATGTTGCAGTGAAGGATGCAGCAGCACCGGAATCCAAGACCAGGATGCAACAGCACCGGGATGCAACGCTGGGATGCAAAAATACTGGGGTGCAACACCGGGATGCTCCAGGGAAGGATGCAGCAATATCGGGATGCAACACTGGGATGCAAAAACACCGGGATGCAATATTGGGATGGAAAAAACACCGAGATGCATCACCGGGATGCAAAAAACACTGGGATGCTCCAGTGAAGGATGCAACAGCACCGGGATGCTCCAGGGAAGGGATGCAGCAACACCAGGATGGAAAACTGGGATGCAATGGCCCTGGGATGCAACGCTGGGATGCAAAAGCACTGAGATGCAAAAACCACTGGGATGCAAAAACACCGGGATGCAATATTGGGATGGAAAAAACATCGGGATGCATCACCGGGATGCAAAAACCACTGGAATGCTCCAGTGAAGGATGCAGCAGCACCAGGATGCAACAGCACCGGGATGCAATGCTGGGATGCAACACCGGGATGCTCCAGGGAAGGGATGCAGCAACACCAGGATGGAACACTGGGATGCAACGACACCGGGATGCAACGCTGGGATGCAAAAACATTGAGATGCAAAAACCACCGGGATGCAACATTGGGATGGAAAAAACATCGGGATGCAACACCGGGATGCAACATTGAGATGCAAAAACCACCGGGATGCTCCAGGGAAGGGATGCAACAGCCTCAGGATGCAGCACAAGGATGCAGCACCGCCGGGATGCTGAAGGGAGGATGCAACACCGGGATGCAGCACCGGGATGCTGGGGGAAGCGATGCAGCAGCCTGGGGATGACTCCGAGGCCACCGCAAAACCAACTCACCGGGATTGGAGACCTTGATGACGGGATTTCCTCTGGGATGGTCGGCTCGGCAGTAAAAGGGTTGTTGGCTTTTCCCGTCGAGTAAGGGAAGGCTGAGGCTGGTGGCGGCCGTGTAAAGCCCGGCGGTGAGGACGGAAGGGAAGACGGCGACGCCTTTGGTGACGCTTTGGTTGGCGGAGTTCTTCCACCCGAAGGTGAGATCGTTGGGAAGGAAACCCACGGCCACGCAACCGACGGCGTAGAGCTCTTGGGTGACGGGGGACGGGCAAGACACCAACGGGAAGAGGCTGGGGGCGCGGGAACTCTCTGGGTGG